CCTCTTAGAAGAGAAAGTGGGTGGTACCCTTGAACGAATTGGTACAGGAGACAGCTTCCTGAACATAACACCAGTAGCACAGGCAGTAAGATCAACAATTAATAAATGGGACCTACAGAAACTGAGAAGCTTCTGTAAGGCAAAGGACACAGTCAGCAAGACAAAAAGGCAGCCCACAGAATGGGAAAAAATATTCATTAATCCCACATCTGACAGAGGGTTGATCTCCAAAATTTACAAAGAACTCAAGAAGCAAGTCTCCAAAACACCAAAGGACCCTATTAAAAAGTGGGCTGCAGAACTAAATAGAGAGTTTTCAATAGAGGAGTCTAAAATGGCTGAGAGGCACTTGAGAAAGTGCTCAACATCCTTAGCCATCCGGGAAATGCAAATCAAAACAACTCTCAGATACCATCTCACCCCTGTTAGAATGGCTAAAATCAAAAACACCAATGACAATTTATGCTGGAGAGGATGTGGTGAAAGGGGACACTCCTCCATTGCTGGTGGGAGTGCCAACTGGTTCAGCCACTTTGGAAATCAGTGTGGAGATTCCTCAGAAAAATGGGAATAAACCTACCACAAGACCCAGCAACTCCACTCTTAGGCATATATCCAAAAGGTGCCCATTCATACAACAAAGATGTTTGTTCCACTATGTTCATAGCAGCTTTATTTGTAATTGCCAGAACGTGGAAGCAACCTAGATGTCCCTCACCTGAAGAGTGGATAGAGAAAATGTGGTACATCTACACAATGGAGTACTATTCAGCAGAAAAAAATAATGGAATCATGAGATTCGCAGGCAAATGGATGACACTAGAAGAAACCATCCTGAGTGAGGTAACCCAGTCACAAAAAGAGAAACATGGCATGTACTCTCTCATATATGGATTTTAGACATAGATCTGGGGAGTGCCAGCCTACAATCCTATGGCCAGAGAGTCTGGAAACAGAAACTTTATTTAGTGGCTGATCGAAAAAGAGGCAGACTCCCTTGGTTAAGTACTGAGCTGAACTCAAGAAAGCCAGTAACAGAGAGGGAGGACTGATGATCAAAGGGATTAAGACTGGGCTGGTTTAACCCCCAGAAACAGCTGACCAGACAAAGGTTAACTCTTGAATCCCAGGCATTAGCCTGGGAAGCCAGCATGGGACTGATCAAGACCCCCTGAATCTGAGTGTCAGTGAAGAGGCCTAGGGAATCTATTGAGCCTTGGGCAGCAGATCAGTACCCATCCCAAGTATACACACGAACTTTGGACTCCAATAGAACAATGTGAGGTGCACTGTCACCCTGAACTCTTGGGAAAGGGTCTAGGCCCTGCCCTATATGAAATGACACACTATGGACACCCCCATGGAGGGCCTCACCCTCCCTGGAGAAATGAGGGGATAACGGGGGGGGGAGGGCACGGGAGGAAGGGAGAGAATGGAAGAGGGACCTGGAACTGACTTGTGAAGCAACCTTGATTCTTATCTAAATTTAAACTGGAAAATAAAATTAAAAAAAAATAAAAAAATAATTAAGAGAGAGTTAGCCAGTAAAAAAGCCCTAACCATTGACTAACAATTTTGCAACTAAAAAAAAAGATTAATATATTTGTATTTTAAAGGTTTTGTCATTATATTAATGGTCATATAGACTACTAATTTTACAAAAAGGTTTCGTCTACCTTTTTGTACATGATTTTGGGTTTGAGTCTCTACCATTTTTCTACAGTAAATCATGATCATGCCTAACATCAACATTTGAAGTCTCCAAAAAGAGGATGGGGTCTCACAATGACAATTTCATCAGGACTACAAACTGCTCATAACAATTTCCAGGTGGCCAGCAGAGATGATCCAGCCCTACAGACACTGCTCAGGACAATTTTGAGGTAGCTGCCTTAGGTGATCCAGAGTTACAGACTCCTCTAGCCAGGACTTGGGCTAAATCCTATACTTTCTCATTGTGTAGAAACTGGACAACAAATGATACAGCTTGACAATTAACCCAAAGTTTTCTTTTCAGTGTCCCCTAATGATGTTGTTGCCCCCAGACAGTAGGAAGCATTTATAAGAACATGATGCCCACATTCCCTAGATGTGGAGTGGATGGTTTTTGGTAACTCATTGGGTCATGGATATTTGTCATTGTTTAGGGAGATTTGTTACAAAATGTTGTCATAGTAATTTCTCACATTGTTTGGAAGTTGCTTGCTTGCACTTCCTGTTTTCCTAATTAGTATTATTTCCTTCTTGGAGCCCTGAGAGAGTTGAAGACTAGATAGTTGTAGTTTTCCTTGTTTACAAGACTCAGAAATGAAACCCACTAAAGATATGTAGAGTGTAAAAGGTTGAAAGAGATTAAAAGATAATTTGATAATGTAAATTATAAAAGAAAATAAACTAGGTACAAGACTTTGGACTCACCAAGATAGGATAGATAGTGAAGTATTTTCTCTGAATTTGTCAAATGCAAATGAACTATACATTATTAATGTACTTATTGCTTGTATATTTTGTATAGACTTATTGTATATAGTTTTTCTCATGTTGGTTGCAGCCTTCTCTTTTTTGTATTAGACAAAAAAGTTAAATTGTGGTGATATATTATTTATGATTTATTAAAGCCACTGGAGATCAAAATTGCAAAGCAGCTATATTACTTAGCCATAGAGTCCAGGTATTGGTGGCACATACCTTTACTCCCAGAACTCAGGAGACAAAGGCAGATGAATTTCTCTGAGTTCAAGACCACCCAGGGCTACACAAGATTGAAATTGTCTGAAAAAGTAACAGAGCTCACAGCTTTAATTCTAGCATTAGAGAGGTATTAATGATAGGAGTAGGGTCTTTAGTAGTTATTATCAGGCATGGATTCTCCAGCCATGATGAGGAGAGACATCAATTTGAGTCTTGGTGATAGTTCATGGAGACAGGATCAACCCTTTTAGCATGAGGTAGTGGTAAGAGCTAGTGACATGGCTGTTTTGCTTTTCTGATCTTTAGCTTGAAGTTTGAACCCCAATATCAGTTTCTGGGTCATTTATTTTTTTTGTGTTATACAAAAAGAATCTGAGATATCATCTTACATCGGTCATAATCACTAAGATAAAAACACTGATGACACGTGTTGGACAGGATATGGAGTAAGGTGAACACTCCTCCACAGCTGGTGAGAGCACAGACTTATACAGTTACTTTGGAAATCAGTGTGGTGGTTTCTTAGAAAATTGGGAACTACCTCAAGACCCAACATTACCAATCTTGGGCATATACCCAAAGGGTGCTCACAAGGACACTTGCTCAAGTATGTTCATAGTAGCATTATTTGTAATAGCCAGAACCTTGAAACAAACTAGATGCCACTAAACTGAAGAATGGATAAAGAATATGTGGTACATTTACATAATGAAGTATTACTCAGCTGTAAAAACACAGACATCATGACATTTGCGGGCAAATGGATGGAACTGAAAAAAAAATCCTGAGTGAGGTAACTCAGAATCAGAATGACAAACACAGTATGTACTCATTCATAAGTGGATACTAGATGTAAAACAGAGGATAACCAGACCACAATTCACAGCTCCAGAGAAGCTAGGGAACAAGGATGGCCTGAAGAGGGGCACATGTATTCACTCTGGGAAAGGGCAATAGAAGAGATCTCCTGGGTAAACTGGGGGAAGGGCAGGAGGATGTTAAAGGGGAGAAGATGGGAGATGAGAACATGAGGGGATGGGATGGTCAATTTGGGGGAGGGAAGTAGGAGAGCAATGAAAGAGGTATCTCTATAGAAGGAACCCTTAGGGGGATAGAGAGAAATCTGATTCCAGGGAATTTCTCAGGAATCCACAAGAATGATTCCAGATAAGAACCCTAGCAACAGTGGAGAGGGTGCCTGAACTGGCCATTCCCTGTAATCAGATTGGTGACTATCCTAATTGTCATCATAGAACTTTCATCCAGTAACTGATAGAAGCAGTTGCAGAAATTGCAGAAATCCACATCCAAGCACCAGACCAAGCTAAGAAGTCCAGTTGAAGAGAGGAGAAGGCATATATGAGCAAGAGGAGTCAAGATCCTGATGGGGAATTCACAGAGACAGTTGACCCAAACTTGTGGAGTTCATGAACTCTAGACCCTGCATGGGACCAAACTAGGTCCTCTGCATGTAGCTGACAGTTTTTTAGCCTGCTCTGTTTGTGGGACCCCTGGCAGAAGGACTAGGATCTATCCCCTGGTACATAAGCTGGCATTTGAAGCACATTCCATATGGTGGGATGTCTTGCTTGGCCTTGGTTGGGAAGGGTGCTTGGTCCTGCCTTAACCGAATGGGTCAGGTTTTATTGACTCCCAATGAGAGGCCTTACCCTTTCTGAGGAGTGAATTGTGAGTTGGAGGGAGGTGGGAGAGGAGTGAGAGAAGGTTTGAGAGGGGGAACTGTGGTTAAAATGAATAATTTTTTCTTCTATCCACATACTTGTTCTCATTCCACACCTCTCTCTACATCATTCAGGCCTTTTAAATTTGCCACAGTATCTACAATTGAAAATACTTCCAGATCAATTTTCATGCATAAGACTTGCAAGTAATCCATATACGATATCATGATGCCTCATGTTAAGACAGAACAGTTTATGATTTGTGATTAGTTTGGAGTTTGTTTCATATTATTTGCCTTTTGTATTATCTTCCTACTCTGCTAGATTGTTTTAGCTTTTCTTTTTGGTTTTTATTTTAAAGAACAGGGTTAATGTGCACTAATTAACAAATTCATTTTATTTCTTTTAAGCTTACTCACACACACAATAATATTAAATTGCTTTTCAAATGATACAGAACTGTTCTTTAAAAGTCACTGGTAAGTATTCAATGAACTATAAAACTGAGCAATCTAGTAAGTATATACATGTATATTAACATGTCATTTTAATACATGCATGTACATCCATACACAAATGTATGCATCTATATAAACATAAGTGTATAAATATATGTTAATACTTTACCTGCCTTCCTTTAATTAGGTAATAATCAATTAAATCCCGAGGATTTGTAACATCTAATGATTCTTCATGTTCTTTTATAATCTCCAAAAAGTAACTTTCAACACAAGTATGATTTTTATAAAATATGTTGTGACTTCCTGGACAATAATCAAGCAGAGCAGGAAAAGTATTGCAAACCTATAAGAAAATACAAAAAAATTACCAAATGAATACACTGTAATGAAAAATTAAGACATATTTATAGCATACAGTAAGCCTGATGTGCATTAGCTTAGATATAAATGCTCATCTCCTTGAGGTGGTTTATTTGTATAAATAATAATTCTCTATTTTAATAGAGAGATTTGAGGGAGAAATCTCTGCCTAAATGGTCAAAGACCATAGTAAATTTTCAACATTCATGACTCTTTATAGTGTGTAGCACATTCATGTTAGATCATTGATGGTTCATATGAACTTTTTTCTACACGTTTGAGATAGCATGTGATGCAGATTACTCACACTCACACTTTCAGGTGACAGTAGAAGTTAAGATGGTTGGGTGACCTGATTTACAGTAGAAATCTAGTGCCTGAGGATATTGTTCCTATCAACTAGCTTTTTTTTACACAAAAAGACTATATAGAAGTGGGTAGGGTTCAAAAGTGCCTTGAAATCAATTGGACATTGATGGGGGAAGTCCTGTGTATATATCAATAAAGCACTGTTGGCCAATAGGGAAGCAAGATAGGTGGGATTAGGAGTCGAGGAGGACTCTGGGTAGGAGAAACACGGGGAGTCAAGATGTAGCTGCCATAGGGATAAGAAGCCTGGAAACTTCTCTGGTAAGAGAAATACTTAGATTAACAATTATGGGGTAAATACTTAAGTCAGAGCTAGCCAGTAAGAAACAAGCAAGGCCAACAGCTTCAAAATTAATACAGCGTCTTGTGAGTTATTTGAGGACTACAATGCAGCAGAGTCCAGGTGACTGGCGGGGAAAATCCAAGTGGCAGACAAGAAAAAAGCCTCTCTCTACAGGACACAATACTCCTTAGGGAGTGTGTGTGTGTGTGTGTGTGTGTGTGTGTGTGTAGGACATGCAAGTGATTCACACACTTTCTTCCAAGCATACTCACAGATGACAAATATTAAATTTATAAAATGAAATTATATATACACATATATCACAATAATTCCTTGTGCAATGTATAGGAGATGCCAATTCAGCACTGGAAAACTCTGTGGAGCTGTTTAAAGTACAAGCACAATTAAACACTTCTACCTGTCACTCTGCCAACTAGGACCCCAGCTGATGCATCAAAAAAACTGAAGGTACTCCGTGTTTACAGGTCAGTTTCATTTCCACTAATATCCTTCCTCTCCTAAGAGAACAGTATGTTTAAACTAAGATAGTCCTACATTGTAATATGATGAGGATGTATGCAATAAATTTACATAGTAGAAGAATGTCCTATGAGTGACTGGCCAACCATCTAGAATTAAATTAAAGTACTCTGCACAAATAGCTCTGTGTTGACTTTAGAGATTCCCCCAAGGAGGGTCTCACCCTCCCTATGGAATGATGTGGGGATTGGGTGGGGGGCTCGGGGGCTGGTGGAGGAACAAGGGAGGAGGGGTGGGAGAGGACGCTGGGGCTGACATGTGAAACATTCATGTTTCTAATTTAAATGAAAACATATATTGAGAAAAAAACAGATACCTCTGTGGAAGTCAATGCTAAAAATCAATGTATAGGAAGCTATCAGGCTTCAGCCAGTCTAACATTTTCCCTTATGCCTTTCTATTTTCATAGCAAATGATTTAGACTCCCTCCCAGATATTTTTTCCATAATATGTTAGTCAGAACTGTCGTGTATGATCAGCTCACTGTTTGGTCCATATTGAGTTTGACCTGTAAGAAAGAAAGACCATACGTGTGTCGTTCTGAGGAAGAAAGGATATTGGTTTCACCTGTATCCATGGGGAGCTCAAAATCTTAGTATTCTCATCCATTTTTTTCAACAAGTTAAGAAAATCCTTATCTTTATAATCAAAACGATTCTGGAAAACAATGGAGCAGATGACATTGCAGGCAGCACACGCCAGGATGAAGGTGGGATCACAGGGTGAATCTGGAGAGTTGGAAACAATTGTAAAATGCCATTAAAGTATACAAAGAAGACAGTTTGCCTTTATTAATAGGTAAGGTACTTTATAACTTTTAATCAGTGTCTTACTTAGTAATATTCTCAACAGTCAATGCTCACCTGGTGAAGAATCAACAATAACCTTAACCTTAATCTTGTCTTGGTCTTCTCAGTGGTTAAGTAGTTGCAGATCATGCCTCCTGTATTGCTTATATACATATATTTCAGCTGCATGCTATTTTGTGCAAAAGACTTTTATAAACCTAATGTTCTAATGATCATAGCTGAGTCACTTTTGTCTGCTAAGTCTATAGCTCATGTAGAACTGAGAAGGAAATTGAATGGTAGAGATCTGGAATTTTGCTTTTAATGAATAATAGTAAACATCATGCACTGTTCCAGTAAAGTGGACATAAATGACAATATTATAGTTACATTCAAGAATAAGGAAGAACAACTTGAAAAGCAGGACATGCCATTGTTATATGGAGGAAAAAGTAATATCAACAACTGTAAGTGTGACATGATATGCCTACAAAACTAAATGATGTGACAGCCTTCATTTTTAATATCCATCCCAGGTGTGGAAAACGAATGAAGAAGGAAACAAGTGAAGATGTTCCTTTTTCCAATCAATTTTGTGCCTTAAGAAATAGATACATTGAACTGGGTATGGTAGTGCAGGCCTTTAACTCCAGCACTTCTGAAGCAGAGGTAGGTGGATCTCTGAGTGTGAGGCCAGCCTGGTCTACAGCCTAAGTTACAGGACAGCCAGAACGTTTAGAACTCAGGAAAATAAGACTTCTCATTACAAGAACTTACTATGTAAGTAGCATTCAATGTATTACCAAAGGAACAGTCATCAATTTCCTAACCCAAAAAGAATAAATGTGAAAATAATATGCAAAATGAAGACATGTAGGGAAACACTGGAGAGGCAATGAAAACATTTCCTGTTTAGTTAAATGAATCAGAAGATAAATTTCCAAGTGTGAGTAAATTTTGAATATAGGTGTTAAAACATGGTTTAGTAAAAGATATGAATCTAAATACTAAGTACTTTGTAAGAAGAAATAATGAAAAATTTTGAAATCATGTTATAGAAAGAGATACAATATTTGATGAAAATTCTATTACACTCAGCTAAGAAACGAAGATCATACATCACATTACTGTTATGAAGAACTGTGAACATGATCCTTGAAGGACCCTAGGATACAGAAATGAAGCAATGGAGAGTAGTGCTGTCAAAAAAACCCATCAATATCAATCATGTAATTTAGGTTCCTTAGGTATACTTGATGACATTGCCACTGTAATCAGTGTCTGTTAGATGTTATGCCATAGGGAAACTACACTTGTGTTAAGGATAATGCATAGCTTAAAATGCAATCGAAAATTAGTATGAGACCTATACTCATAATATCACATTGCAAATAAAAGAAAGCTTTGACTAGGATAGGAACCATGTGATTTACACAATCATACTAGAACAGTGATTCTCAATCTTCCTAATGCTTTGATCTTTTGATATAGTTTCTCATGTTGTGGTGACTCCCAAACATAAAATTATTTTCATTGCTAATTCATAACTGTAACTTTGCTACTGTTAAGAATCTTATTGTAAATATCCGTGTTTTCTGATGGTCTTAGGAGACCACTATGAAGGGTTAATTCAACTGCTTAAGGGTTCACAACCCACAGGATGAGAGCTGTTGTGTCATACCAAGATGTAAAAGTTAGAGTATAAACCTGCACTTACCATTGGTTTTCCTCAGTTCCTCCACAAGGCACTGTGCTTCCCCTTGAATATGGTCCTCGATGCTCCTTTTTCCCATGCCCAAATTCCGCAGGGTGGTGAGGGAAAAGCGCCTCAAGTCTTTCCATGTATTTCCATTGTTAAAAATGATTCCTGAACAAATGGAAACAGTAGAGAGTAGATCCCAGAGATAGAAAAGGGAACTGACTAGTGGAAGCCATGGAGTCCCAATCTGTGTCTGAGGAGCAAATATGGATTTTGTTTTCCATCCTCTGGCTCACTATGGACATTCCCTAGTACACACATAAGTATGTACACACTTACCAAAGCCATTAAAAACTTTATCAAGAGCTGGGAGCTTTCCTCTTCCAGAAAACTCCTCCCCATGATCAATCAGAGCTTCCTTCACTGCCTCATAGCCATGCAACACCACAGTGGGCTTTTGGCCAAAATATACAGTGAACACAGGGCCATAGACTTTTGAGAACTGGGAACAGGAAAGAAAAGGCAAATATTAGCAAAAAATCTAATGTCACCTCATTCTTCATATAGTCAACCTCACTGAAGCTGACATTATTGTATGTTAATGTTTTTACACAGGCAGAGTCAGTAGCAAATGTTTCTGATATCTATCATTATCGCTTATATGTTTCCTACAATGGCCCAGAGAAATACCCAGGCAGTTGAACCATAGATAACAATGAAACTAAATATACTAAGACATTTTCCAGCTCTCTTTTGTCTCATTTCACAAATAAAATGAAGTTAAGAAAAATCCCCATTAATTTTATGGAACCTATTTCAAGTGAATAAAAACTCAAAATTGGCACTCTTGATTATCCATTATTAGATGCACGAGTAATTTGTAATCACTCTCATGCTCATTCCAATATAAAATCAACATCAATAGTTGAATGGCATCTGTAGAATCAGCCGTGAAACTCCTCCTGTGAAAAACTAGTGAGCCCTGTGATAGAGAATAGAAATCTTTGTGAGGTTACCACAAATGATCACATCCAGTTTCCCTCTATAGTTACAAAAAGTGAGAGCAGACACATAGAAGCTGAACTGGAGCATCCAACATCTGCAGAATAAGCAGATATTTATCATAGAGTGTTCTCTGCCACAGCATAGGGTTGTATAAAATGGAAACAGATTTTGGGAAATCCTGCATATTGGTCACACAGTATATGTGTTTCATTTCCTGTGTGAGCCCATGCCCATAAATATTTATTTAAATCAGTTAGTTCTTCAGAGTCCAGTATCAGGGGTTAATCCCAGTAACAGTAAGTGTCTAAAATTCTGACTCATTGATGAATTATTCCTCAGTCTTGACCTTCAGCTAAAACCAGTGGAAAACAATTATAAACAAAGATGTGAAGAAGCACATAGAACTTTTAGGATCTTGTGAATTATATTATAAAATACAATGACCTAGATGTTATTTTACCCCAAACATATTGCTCATTACTGAATTCTTGACCAGAACAAGAGGCAAAAAAAACCCCAGAAGAAATATAAAACTTTACATATGTTTTGACTATATGATCATTTTAAACAATATTGCCTCCAGTATTTCATTGAAAACATTTGATTTATCTCCCCTTTCAAAGTCGAGAAGAGCATAAAACATACTCACTTTGGTAAAAGATTGCTGTATGTTCTTCATATCTATCTGGAGGAAATTTCCAATAAATGGGAGAGGAGTGGGGCCAGGAGGAAGCTTCCCTCTCCCAGAGCTCTGTCTCCAGAGTGAGAGGAGAAGCAGAAAGGAGAGGCTGAGTACCAGGACTGTGACTGGATCCATGGAGACCCTTCTTACTGTATAGAACAGTTATCAAGTGGCTGCCGAATCAACATTTTATACTTCATGGTTTCATTGACTCATCAACAAGATAATGTTTAACCTGTAATTTGAATAGACTTTGACCTAGTCATAATCAAACCCAATTTCTCTTTAACCCCATCCTTTTGTAATGTTTACCATGAGATCAATGGGCTTAATTCTATTGAATGATGACCAAATAGTCTTCATTTTATATTTAAAATAGAATCTTCTATCATACAACACATTCTAACCACAGATTACTTTATATTCACTCCTCCAAAATCCCGAACACCTCCTCCATATCCACACCCATTTGGTTTCCCTTCAGAAAAGAGCCTCCAAGGGACAACCAAACACAATAAAACAAAATACAGTAAGACAAGGTAACTCAACAGAAGAAAAAGTGTCCCAAGCGCAGGCAACACTGTTAGAAACAACTTCATCCTAATGCTTGGAGTCCCACAAAAACACCAAGGTATGAGCCAAAACATACATGCAAATGAAATGATGCAGAACCATGCAGGACATGTACTTGCTGCTTTAGTTTCTGTGAGCCCATATGAGCCCTGCTTAGTTGATTCAGTGGGCTGTATTCTCATGGTATCCTCTATACCCTCTGATTCTTTTTTTTTTGGTTTTTACAATCAACACAGCATTAGAACTTCCATTTTTTCATTTTGAGCTCATACCCTGTCAACTAGAAACACAGCTGATCCACTATAAGACTGAAACTACTCAGTTTCATTACCATTAGTGTTTTATACCTTTGGAAGAATATTCATTCTATACTTTAATAATGCTGCCTAGTAATCTGATATCGGGATGTTTAATTATTGTAAAATAGACACAGAATTTGGATAGTATAAGAATGACTTGTGAAGGACTGGCCACTCCTCTAGAAGTGAATGCAGTATTTTATACAAAGAGTCTGTGGCAGTCAATGAGAAAATTCATGGATAAGAAGCTATCAGGATTGAGCCATTTTGGTATTTGGCCCTAAGTTTTGCCATTTGTATCAGTAAGGGTTTGGACTTCCCTTTCAGATATTCTTTCCATAATGTGTTAACCCTTGTCATCTGGTCACCTTACTTCATGCTACATATATAATTTGACATTAAGAAAGAAAGACATTAAGTATGTTCTCAGAAGGAAAGGTATTGGTTTCACCTGTAGCCAGAGGGAACTCAGAATCGTGGAGTTCTAATTCAGTTTTCTAGCAAGTTAAGAAAACCCTTATCTTTATATTCAAGACAGTTTTGGAAAATAATGGATCACATGACATTTCAGGGAGCACAGCCTAGATGAAGGTTGGATCATACAGTGAGTCTAAATAGTTGGAAACAATTACAAAGTGCCATTAAAATATACAAAGAAGAAAGTTTGCCTTTGTTAACAGGCTAAGATAATTTAGAAATTTAAATGGCATTTTAATTATGAATGTACTTAGCAGCTAGATATTTGTCTGGTGAAGAATCAATAATCACATTGATCTTAAATCTGAGTTTATCTTCATTCTCATTAATTAAATAAGAACAGATCACATCTATTATAACATCTATTATATTGAACCCTGCAGGTCCAACCTCAAGTGCATGTTTTCATCTGAAAAAATATTTTATTTACTTTTGACTTTTGTCTGCTCTTTAAATAAGACAATTAGGGATAGCAGTGTACATAGCACACAGTAATACTTATTTTTAGCATAATAGTAATCAAAACCTGAAGTACAAGCTATTGCATCTAAATATAAAAGGAATTAAAGTATAAACTATTATATTGCGTGAAGGGGGAGCATATCATAAACCAAGATACAAAGGGTCTAAACATTTATATTCTAATAAGATGGTAAACTGTGAAAAACTAAAGTCACTTCTGGAAGAGTGTAAATGTACCTTTTCTAGATTCTCCCAAGTGGAATTAGGGTTTACATGCAATCACACTTTAAAGCTTTACTCTCAGGACAAAGGAACCACAAAACACATGCAAAATATTTATTGGTTTATAATTTCCATGGCTCATTCAATGTGCAATGCACATGGCTCCAAGCCTTCAATTTGACGTGGTGAATGTATACAAACTGAAATGTCACAACTCCCTGATTCAAAACTTAAAATGTCATTTGGATGTCACACAGTCATTTGATCACCACTTTCCTTTAGAATGACAAGAATTAGCAGCTGGCAGTCTGAAAGGATAGAATAAAACTTTAAACATAGTCATTAACTAGTGGATGAGTAAGGTCACTAGAAGTTTGTTTGCATTCTGCAAGTTTTATCACAGAACAATCTACCATGGTTAAGGACCTTAAGTTAAATGGTGCAACATCCTAAAAATTAGCCATTCAGAGTTCATAGTCTGCAGAATGACCAAAATCAATTCCTAATTTTTTATAACTGTATAAATGTTGTCCAAAGTGTCTAACACTAGCATTCCAAAATATTAATCAAAAAATATTAATGCAAAATTCTATTACTTTGTGATATGTACAGACTCTCTAGATGTGTCATTGGACTTAATCAAAGACCCTTCAAATAATGACATTTGTATATGAAGTGTAGCATGATATTAAACTGTTTCTGTTTCATGTTTATACATGAAGCCCTTCTGCCTAATAATAGAATATATTTTGTAGCAGTATATTTATAAGTTCAGTTGCATCCATCTTTTTAAGTGATATCAATATCAATGTCCTCAAATGATGTGTAATAATCTTTTTGTGCATTGTGAAGATGTGTCATTCTGATTGGTTTAACAGAAAGCAGAACAGCCAACATCTAGGCAGGATTTATAGGCAGAGAGGATTCTAGGAAGAAGGCAGAGGTGCCAGTAGATGCAGAACGAGCAGGATGGCCACTATGGAGATGAGGTAATAAACCCATGAGGCAGAAAGTAAGCTAATATAAATGGGTTAATTTAAATTATCAGAGCTACTTATAAACAAGCCAAGCTATTGGTCAAGCTTTCATAATTAATAATATTCTTGTGTCTATTTGGGAGCTGGCAAGTACGATAGAGATAAACTAGATACACTAATCCTTGTCAGACATCATAGGTTCACTTGTTGGTACACTGATTCTCTTTGAATATACCACTTAATTATTTCCACTATCATCTTCTTAGTCATAACCAGAAGATTCTTCCTTTACTTCCTCCAACATTTTATAGGTGTTTCTACTTGGACATGAATCACTTTGGCAAGTTCCTTCGAGACATATTTATTAGATATTTTCTAACCATCTGGTGAAGATTTGTACCTTCTAAATGTCTACATCATACTTCTTCAAGATATGTGCCTGGGAAGGGCAGGATTCAATCAAATGTAGCCTGGGGTTTCTATCCCCAGCCCACAAGAAGACTCTAGCAACACTTCTGTGCCATCAAGAGACCTGCCAGCCACCAGAGGTGCTGAATGGTTGGGTACTATGATAAATTTTTTGTGATGAGAAAGAAGGGTACCTTGTGGCACCAGGAAGATAGGCAATATTTTGGTGAGCATGTGTATGGTGAGGTACAGGAGAGAGAGGGAGACAGAATGGTTAAAGTCCTATGAACAGAGGCATATGTGAAGTGGTGTGGTGAGGAGTGGGCTGAGGTGTGTGGTTTGATTGCTACTCAGGGCCATGGTGATGTCTGGGCCTGGGCAGAGGTGTTGCTGGAGTTCTCTCATTGTCAGGATCCTGAAAACCTGGGTTACCTTTTATTAAGTCCTGACACCACAGTCAGCTATCAATTTTCTAACATAAGACCTTGTAAAGGTAACAATGATATGCAAGACTAAAGATACACAGGAGAATACTAGAAAGTCAAAGAAACCATACTCTTTTAGTAAAAGAAATCATTTTATAATTTACATATCTCCATTAATTTTGGATATTTGTGATGAAATGTGTTTCAGCAAGGTTACAAATCAATACACTAAATGTTTGTAGGTGGAAGTTATTAACCCCAAAATATTTTACATTGGTATGGATTTCAGTTTGTTGATTCAAATTTAAAGTTATTTCTGTTATACTATATGTATGTTTCTACTCTTGTTTGGGGCATCATGTTTATGCAGCTCATTTAAAAATGTAATATATATTTAAGTGTTCAGGTCCCACATTGAGGGACCATCTGACCAGTCTACTCTGTGCTTAAAAAGAGGACTGTGGATTGAAGAAAGAAATAGACAATCACTAAAAGATCAGAGTCAGGAGGACATCCAGTGAATACTAGGGTCAGGCCCAAGTTTATTAATCCAAGTTCTTATATACCCAATCAAAATGGAAGAAGGCAAAAGACTTCATTACCATGATATAAGGAACAAACAAATGTAATTACCTCCTCAAAACCCAAACACCAAGTAACCACACCCTAAACCAAATATGCTGCTGTTTAGGTAATACAACCATTAGCTACACCTTAGGCTAAATATCCTGTTGTCACGGCAAGAAATACAATAGCCACACCTTAGGTCGAACATTCTCTTGTTTAACCTTGAAAGAGCAAGAGTAGCTTTTGCATTTTTTATTTTTTGATTTTATTTTACATTCCAAACATAGCTCTCGCTCCCACCCCTCCCCCACACCCTTGGCTCCTCCCACCCTCCTTCACCTCTCCCCAGACCCCCCCTCAATTCACTCTTCCTCACAGGTAAGGACTCCCATGAAGAGTCAACATAGTCTGGCACAATAGTTTGGGTCAGGTCCTGGCCCCTCTCCCATGCATTAAGACTGAGTATGGCATCCCACCATAGGGAATTGGCTTTAATATGTACTCATACTGGGATTATATTTGGTCTTATTGCCACTGAGCATGACATTTCAACCCTAAGGAATGGGTTACAAAATGCTAGCTCATGTACCAAATTTTATCATGGTTGTATTGCCAGGAGCCCCTCTGATAGTCCAAGCTTCACAACTGTCTGCCATGTATGGAGGACCTAGTTTAATACCCTGGAGTCTTCACAGTTTTAGGTCTATAGTTCATGAGTTTCCATG